ACTCTTCAATCATGGCTTCTGTAACCAACAAGATCAAATGCACGTTCGAAAACTGCTATCAGCGCTTCTCCTCTGTGGAGGCAATGAGGAAGCATAAGGATAAAGCCAAGGACGATGTCCACGACTTCTACTGCAAGAAATGCGATGAGGACTGCACTGATGATGTAGAATATCTGATCCACCAGATTCAGAGCGCAAAGCATAGTAAGTCTCCCAGATCCATAGGAAGCTCGCTGCTCTTCTGACAAATACAGTCGTCTGCCCAGCCTGTGGAATTGAGTTCAAGAGCGAAGGTGGACGAGATCGTCACGTTGGTATTGTGAGCATACTGGCTGTCCAAGAACCATTTGGGCCCGATGAACTGACATCGTGCACAGTCGCACCGACAACGCCAAAAGCTCAAATGTCCAGGCTGCAATGAGATGTTCACCGACGCCTCCGGTCTCATGGGTCATATTGAGCACAACAAATGTAAGATCATTCGCAGAGACGACTTCCATCGACATCGGGCAGAACAACAAATCGAGAAAGATGCAACGGAAGAATTGCAAGGTGGTATGCTTCATGGCGAGACTGTCATCTCTACAGGCTCAGATTCTGACCCTACTGGTGGTGCATCACTCCCCGAGAATCAGCGGATCCCTATGTCTCGAGACTGGCAAGGCGCACCGGAAGACGATCTATGGGGGGTTGGCAGCGAGAACTATGGCCGTCAAGAGAGTGATATGGCTCGACAGATGTCAGATCTCGCCCTCGACAAATACCCTACCCTCGTGGCCAACTCATCTATCCTTCCTTCTGCTTCGACTGCTGTCACCTCCACTCGGCAGACAGAGAACGATAGCGATATCAGCCAGTCCACAGCTGCAACCAGCGACCTTCTCGACATGAAAGAAGTGCCAAAAACAAGACCAGCGCAATCCATCTTTGGTAATAACAGCGCCTGGGGAGCCAATAAAGCCGCAAGAGCTCAACGCCAACCCATACGAGAAGTCTCACCAAACCTCCTCGATAATGCCAGCAGTATCAACCTTCTCGACTCATCGATCATGGACAAGGAATCCGTTGCAACAAGAGGCACTCGACCATCTCACACAAGCTACCCTGGCAATACCAATACAAATTCTATCCCACCCGCCGCGAAAGCCGAAAATCAAGACCCAAACGCCCCGAATGCACAAGTCCAGACCCGCCCGCAGATGCGCATGGCTTCTCGGGACAAGCTTCAGACTTACTGGCAGCCACTTCAGCAATGCTACGTTTGTCCTGGCCACATGTGCGGTCGGAAGTTACGGAGTGTTCAAGATTTTGAAGAGCACTTGCTAAGTGGCGCACACGTCGGCGGCATGGTTCAATGTCCTAGCTGCCTTAAGCGATTCAAGACTACGACTGCACTAGTCGCACATGCTGAGAGCGGAAGCACTAAGTGCGACCTTAGGAAGACCGAGGAGTTCGACCTGGCCATCCAGCAGATCACGGCGGGACTGATCAAGGTTGAAGGAAGCTGGAGTGGCGCTGGCAACGCCAAGTTTGAGAGTGTCCCGATTGGGCAGTGGTAGGTATGTGATAGAGACGATTCTAGTGAAGACGACAGCTAACGACTCAGCAGTGTGGGACGCGGTGACAGCTCAAGACCATCTTGGGCCGGAATACGACTGGCTAGGAGTTGGTATCTGACTTGCCTGGGCATCTTCTTCTGCTGGGTCTTGATCGTCTCTTGCAAGATAATTGCTCGGTAGCATGTCTCAGGATACCTAACACACATAAGTAAGAAGAACGACTCCATAAGTTGTTGCCGAAGTTGAAGGATCTTCAAGAACACCTGCTTGCGTAAACCAAGAGCTATGACGGGAGGGAAGCTGGGCTGGTATATGAAAGAGGGAGTGCTGGCGCTAAACACCCGTCAGAAGCATGCGTGCGAGCGAGCGAGGAGGCGAGGTATACGAACATGACTTTTGCTTATGGATAATGAGTTATGACATAGAGCTTGAATACATGTTGTTCGCCACGCCACAACACCAGCAAAGCATCATTATCTCCAGACGGAAAGGGCGCAATGCAGCACTGATATATAAGGCCGGCGTCCACCACCGTGCTCCAGTTCCACGACCACCACGAGTAATATGTGCAGTATCCTCTGATCGACTCAGTTCACGGAATCAGGAATTGTCGTCAAGGCAGTAGCACTGGCAGGTAGCCACGGCCACCATCACCACCTGCAACTCGGGGCTAACACAAACATAATACTATTCTACAATATACTTTGGTCTGCAGTGCCACGCTATGCAATCCCATGCTCCCCATGTATCTATTCAGCCAGCTCGCATCCGCCCAGTCCGTGTCCCATACCTCACCGCGCAACCCACCGTCCCTTATGCGGAGGTGAGATTGCGAGTCGTTCATTAGCTAAAGTCGTCTACGACAGGACGCGGCGGGTGAGCATGTCTAGCGTCGAGTTGCAAGAACTTCAGCAGGGTTCCAATCGACACTCGTGGACGGATACTGAATTCTTCCTGTGCAGTGTAGCCATACCCAATCCATTCGTCCATGGCCGACCATACCCCATTCAGCATCACTTAGCATAATCTTTTCCCTTCTTCATGTCTACTGCCTTCCTCCTCAAATACCCCACCGTCGCTCTTCGAGGGCCAGGCACAAGCGCTCCTGGATGGATTGGACGATGCTGAACGGGAAGGACTCGCCCCACGCGAGAATGAGGGAGAGTTATTGTTGTGAAGATCGTCGTCTTGTGGGAGTTGAGCTGGCCGCCTGCGTGTGTAACTGAACCTCGTCGAACAGACAGCAGAGCAACGCGCTCAAGGCTCGAGTTTTGCATAAAACCCGTGAAAGAGTCTGTCATTGATCAAACGAGCTGTTTCATGGTCCAAGGCTGTTGATCGCGGTGTCCGCTGGTATCTCTGTGGCCTTGAGATAGTGCTGCAGCTCCTCCACGCAATGCCAATGGCTTCGTACGGTTCTGCTGGATGATTGAAGGCGTGCTGCTCGTGTTGGTGTTTCTGGTATTGTGATGTAACAAACCATTCTTCATGAAGATCAACCTGGCACACAAATACCTTCTTAGGTCAACGACCAAAGGCCGTGAATCACAGTCATGAGCTCAAGTCGCTTCAGCCCTCCTTACCGATGTCCGGAAACTCTTGCTCTCTCAACTTTTCCTTCTTTCTGCTCTCGATGAGCTCCTCTTTCTCCTTCACTTCCTCAGATTTTGGTTGCCCCTGATTCCAGACCTCCCAGATCTGATCCACAATCATACTGCCATAACCCTCACCTTCATCCAGCTTCTTCTGCTCTTCCGCTAGCCGTCTCTCCTTCCAGCCGTCCTTCTCACCTCCCATCCAGATATCCTTCGCAGCCTTTTCTAATCCTTGCGGATCTCGATGTGTCTGGTGCTTTTGAAGCTGTTCCTGAATGGATGGACGGTCTTGCTTTTGTATCTGTCCTCCTTCTTCCAGAAGCCTTCTACCGCCCTGTCTCAGCTTCATCCGCTCTTGGTACTCGATTGCGGCAGGTGGAAGACGCGCACCGGGCAATTGGTAGAGTATTCCTGCGCCGGTCCGCTCCTTCACCATGTGATTTGCTGAGGCTATGAATGCACCTGTAAGTGAGAAGGTGTATAGATCCAGCTTTCGTGGCGGAAGAGCTATCAGTATTGGTGCGCCGACGAGGACGCAAATGGAAGCATTGTGGAGGAAGCTTTGGAAGGAGGATGTCATGTGAATGCGCTGCTCGAGCGTTGGCTCGCGGGAGGGGGTATCGGTGGACATGATTGCGGGTATCGGAAGGGACTAAGGCCGTGGTGGTTGTCAAGTCACTCTACAGCTCGTGCGTGAATAGATGTTGATAGTGCTGGGTGATCCGGTCGAGGGTACGAATAGGTATCAGGCTTGGTCTAGGGTAAGGGATTCATGCTGTAGTCACCCTAAACAATCACACAGAATCACTTGCGGCAGAGATCGAGCTCAGACATGAAGTGTCAACGACTTGCCATGACTACAAAATAAATCTATGATGCGGAGTGCTTCCGACCTGCAGTGAGCTCACCACTCCAATCTCAGCACTTTTAGCGCTTCAATCCTACCGTACTCATCCTCCTATCCATATCATAACTTCTGCTCCTTGCCCTGCACAACCTCACTATCTTCGCTGTTCACTAAACTGACCAACTCCTTCCTCACATAATCGGGCACACCAACCCCGTCCGGCCTATTCGTCTCCTTTGCAACCCATATCTGAATAAATCCACCCACAGCCTTAACTTTCTCCTCGCCCTGCTGGAACACACCAACTTCATACATGACACTCGACTTCCCTAATTTGACAACACGAAGTCCAACATCTAGCACTCCCGGATACTGCGCTGATCCAAAGTAGTCACAGTACGTATTTGCGACGAGACCGATGTGGGTAGATGATTTAGTGCTGTAGCCGCATACGTCCATTAGGTAGGCATTGATGATGCTGTCGATTAGGACGCCGTAGATGGGGTTGTTGAGGTGGTGGAACATGTCGTTGTCTGCCCTGTAACTGGAATGAGTCGAGTGGGAGGCTGCGAGGAGGCTATGTCACCTACCATCTCGTTCTGTAGTCCTGGTGGAAGACATAGTCGCTCCGTTGACGTTCGCGCTTTGACTTGAGGTCGAGACCTATGATCCTGCCCATGTCCATATAGAGCAAAATGTATGAATAGCTATCTTCCAGAGGCTCGAGGTGTGGTTTGTTACATGATGAAGGAGGTACTTCATAGCCAAGGTAAAGGTGTGCTATGGGTTCGTTTGACTCTTATGAATTGTCGCTGAGCCGAGGCATCCGGAGCAAGCCCCTAAGAGGACAAGTCCTTCTGACTTTAGGTGGCATAGCGGTCTTCGCCGGCTGCATACCTAAAGACCACAAGGTTGTTCCTCGGTGCTTTTGACCTCAATTTCGACCGCTTGTTTCCTTGCAAAAATGAGTCCTAGATGTTGAACTCTGCAAAAATGAAATTCCGACAACCACAGGATTTGAACCTGTGCGGGCGAACCCAATAGATACCACAAATGCGTAAAGCGTTCGAGTCTATCGCCTTAACCACCTGAAACATTGTTAGAATGAAGCCCAAGAGAAATCAGTTCGGTGACGCTTACTCGGCCAGATTGTCGATGTGCAAAATCTAGCATTAATTCGTGCTATAAGAAATATCAACCTTTGCATGAGCGGGCCAGCATGCGGCCAAGGACCGGAGGAGTCCGACCCTGACTCACGGCTTGAGGCATCTTAATGTCTCCCATTCTCTCGATATGTCAATTACACGCTCCTACAACGCAAATATCGCTATTACTGAGTCTCTAGCACTACACATGCATCGCATGATGGTGTGATATAGCTCTGAATATTGGTCCTTTCGAGTAAACAATCCACCGGGCAACTTGCTATCCAAGAATAAAATTCTCCTTCAAGAACAGAATCTTTACCGCAGACATTTCGAGTCCGACTCGAGCACGGTGCACACATATCTACAACTACCATCACTAGGCACAACCGTCAAACAATATCAATGGTTTGATAACCCTCACACTGAGCCGTCTCTTGATCTCAAATAAATCGCCAAGAAGTCATATCACCTTCCAACCATGCCCAAAAAGCCTGCCCTCGAATACTCCGCCGCGGAACCCGCTTTCCTCCGCCGCATCAAAGCAGGCAAAGCAGCACTTGATGGTCGCCACAATGTGCAGATACCTCGCGCACGGGGTAATGCTGGTAAAGGTGGGCGACTTGACATGGGAGGTGATGAGGGCGAAGATGACCCGGTCATGCTGGATGAGAGTGGGAATGTGGTGACGAAGGAGGAGATAGAGGCGAAGGACGATAAGACGGAGGGCGCGTCGGCGTTGGAAGGCAATGGTGATGTTACTGAAGGAGTCCAGGCAGAGGAGGAGCGGAAGATCAAAGATGTGGAAGGAGGTGTGAGCAGTGGATTTGCGAAGAAGAGGAAAGCCGTGAAGGTCATTGGTGATGATGAAGCAGCTGAATTATTGAACGGTAATCAGGGCGGGGTAGACGAGCACACAAAGTCACTGAAGGAAAGCACGAAGGACCTCAAAGACGTGGTTACAACACAAAAGGACGATGCGAAGAAGGAAGCCGCCGCCAGCTCCTCGACGAAGAAAGGCAAGCGGAAGAAACTGAAGTTGAGCTTTGACGATGATGATTGACCTTGTCTCTTATGATATCCGCGTGAACGAGAGCTCCCACTTCCGCCTTTCTACTCAGTCTATCTGGAATGTAGACCAATTGGCCTCTCGTCGGTCATCCCTACGACGTACAAGCAGGCTGCTCTAGGACCAGGTGCAAGCCCGTCAACACTGATGGCACCCTTCAGATGTGTACGTGTCGCACATGAAATCAGAGACGACTACCAATTACGACAAACGCATGGGGTGTTCTTAAGTTATCTACGAAGCTGCCTCGTGCGACGTCAGCCCCTCCAAGTTGTGCGCTTAGTCTGAAGCGGCAGCGGGAGAGGTCAGAACCCTCCGTCGTGGGCCGTGAGTGAAATCCGCATCATGGATACACACCGACGTATAGCTTGGAGACTGTCTGGCAAGTGTATCACATGATATAAGATCTCGCCAGTCGGGGAGGTCGAACTAAAGGGTTGCAGGAGGACGATTTGGCCGAGCATTACACCCCTGTCCTGATGTCGACTATGGTGATTGCATGAGCCAGTAGCGGTTCAGCACGAACGAATCAACAAGAAAATGCAAAAGACTGCGAAGATCCTCGTTCAATCATGGTTATCAACACTGGTATCTAATTCCCTTGACTCTTACGTACAACGCTTACTGAACTCAACAACCGAGAGCACGCCAAGCACGCAGACAGCGCCTGCGTTGGTCCCGAATCTTCCAGCTCGCTCGCATCCAGCCGAACCAATCCACAATCCGATATCCCATTGTACCTCCCACCACAGCCCAACCAACACTGTCAACTCACATCGAGTATCAAATGCAACCACTTACTCCCTCACAGCTGCTCCCTCATAAACCCTTTGACCCCATCCTCCTTCTCGTCACTCTCCTCGTCGCCCCAATTCCCGACCCCCGAACCACTCAACATCTCACCAATATCCTCCTCAAACGGCCCTATCATAACCTCCTCCGCCCCCTCAAACAACCCCCGAACCCTCTCCCGAAACGCCTCCCTCTCCGCCTGCTCATCGCTATCAACCCCAAACAACTCCTCGTCCCGTTCCGCATCCAACCCCATTTTCTTCCTCCCCCACCGCCTGAATACCTCACGGTCCTCCTCATCTCCAATCTCCTTCCTCACAGGGATGAACCGTCTCAGCGCCTTGTAATACCGGCTCTGTGTATATCCGAAGAGCGGCGTGAGCACATCCCGGACTTCTTCCTCGACGCCAGCACTCAGTGCGTCCATGGCGTACCAGGAATCTAGGATTGCGCGTCCGAGTGCGTTTACGAAGGCGAGGCGGCCGTCAGGAGTAGCGTGATCTGGTAGGTCGGGAAGTGCTGGCGGCGTTGGTGGTTTGATTACCTTTGCTGCTGGCTTTGGTGGTTCCCATTTCTTTGTCTTTGGTTGCTGTGGGGGTAGCGGTGAAGTAGTGTCAAAGATCTTATAGGCCGGGACGTATGGTTGTGGCCGTGGTTGTGGCTGTCCAGAGTTGTCCTTTTGTCGAGCGGCGAGCTTCTGACGGCGCTCTCGCTGCACTCGGCGTTTAATGTTCGTGCGGACGCAGGTTATAGGGCGTCCAGTTGCTTCGGTTAGATTTTGGATGGCCATACGATCTTCTAGGGGAAGATCCAGGTGGAGGAGGGCGATTGGGGACGTGTTTCGTGGAATGCGTGCAAGAAGCGAGTTGATCTTGGCTGTGTTGGACATGTTGATGGGTTGTGTAGACATATTACTCGCATTGGAGTCGTGGTTGGTAGCAGGTGGACCTGCTTGAGCTGAGGGAGGTCGAGGTGGTGAGGTGTGACTTTGTAGAGCTTTGAGTATATCTACCAGGCATTCATGTGCTGATAGCTATACACTGTGAGTTGAGGAATCTGTCAACAAAGGAAAAGGGCAAAAAGAGGTGCGATGGGGACTTTCTTATAGGAAAAATCAAGAGCAGGAACGTAATGGTACTTGCAGGTCCTCAGGCCAGCAGATTGCTTGACGTTGGTACCAGGCATATGCTCCAAACAAGTCTGCAGGTCCTCAGGCCAACAAAGCTACCTTTGGTGTCTGTACCAGACCTATGCTCGAAGGAATTCTGCTCGGCGTGGCAGTACATCTCGTCCAGGAGCATAACGGGAATCTGGCGTAGAAGGAAAATCGTGTGACGGAATGGTCTATTGCGTGGACCTGTATTCTGTATAGTTTCTAAGACAGCAAAACGCAGGCACATACTCGCTCTGCACCGAACGCTCCAATCTTTTAACTGTACAAACGAGCACAGCTGTAATAGTATGAGAATTACATTTCTCTCATCAAATCCAATAGATCTGCAGAAGGAGGTGTACCAGTGCAACCACTGAAATTTTGCCTCCGACCGAGTCCGCGGCCGTAGGCCATATGAGTTTTGGGGGTTTTTTGGTTTGTTGGTCTGTAGCCTCGACTGAGCCCTCAACCTCCAACCATATGAGTTTCGGGGGTTTTTTTTTGGTTTGACGACTCTCAGGCGCTGATGGTGTCCGCCAGCTCGGGTTGACGAATTTCGGAGGTACTGCGTAGGTTGCTCCGGGCTACTTAGCCAATTGCAGTCGCCAAGTCCTTACCTCGAAACTTGATCTGGAAATTCGTGGTTGTCTGCCAGACCCGAGAAGCTCCGCCTATCTAATATGCCATCAAATCTATAGCAGTCAGCATCATCCAGGAGAATTTTTCGATGGGAATTCAACTTACCTCTACCGAAAAGTGCTCTCTTCGTCCAGTCCATGCTCAACAGCAACCTTGTCCTGAAACTCACACTCTGTGCGAAGTAAACACTTCTCCACAAATATACAGCCATAAGTCCTCCACTGAAGTTTAGGCCGTTGATATCGAAAATGGCAGCATTACCAACATATGCAAGTGAACCAAGATGGTGATACTCGAATGCTTTGTAGACTGCATCGTCAAGGTCACCATAATCGACCTCGTTTGCCTTGAAACCAGGCACAGCTTGTGCTATCCTGTTGAACTTTTTGCCCAAGTACCCACCTTGTTGATTTGCTCTCTGAGCCGTTGCAGGTAGAGATGTAAGCTTCGAGTCGATCTGAAGGACAAGTTCATGAAGTTCACCAAAGTCAAGTGTTCCATTCTTGTCCTTGTCGTACGCTTCGAAGAGCTTGTCAAGGCGCCTCAGATGATTTGCCGCCTGAGGAAAGCGCTTCTTGACCTTGGAGGCAACATTTCTCCATTCAGCAAATGTGACACGAAGGTCCTTGGGGTCTTTGCCTCTCTCCCACGCCATACCACGAAGGAAAGTGACGAGATTGTCGGCTATGTTGTTCTGAACGGTGCTGCAGTCGCCCATAGCGTATACATCACCCAGAGGTGCACCGACGAGACGCAAATGTGTGTCTGTTTCTAGAGCGTGCTTGTTCTGCTGTGCATCGCCCAACTTGGCGGCAATAGTCTTGCAGAAGTCCGTTTGTGCTACACCTGTACTCCATAAACAAAAGCCCATAGGCAGCTCTTTCGTTACAGTTGTGCCGTCTTTGTCTTTCTGTGAGAAGATAATCTTGTCGGCTTGGACTTCTTTCACACGAGCATTGGTCAGAACGTCGACGTTATCGTGCTCGAAGCGCTTTTCGGCATAGACCGACAGAGCTTCATCATATGTGTTGAGGATATGGCTGCGCGATTGAATAACGTGGACCGAGACTTCGTTCCGGAGGATCTTAGGAAAGGCCTTGAGTAGATCTTCATTCAGCATGTCGTAGAGTTCAGCAGCAAACTCGACACCAGTCGGGCCTCCACCTGATATGACGAATGATAGCAGTCTTTTTCGTTCCTCGTCGGATGTAGTTGGTAGACAGGCCATTTCCATATTGTTGAGCACCTTGCGCTTGATCAGACGTGCATCGTCGATTGTCTTAAGAAAGTTGCAGTGCTCAAGACC